GGCCAGGGCTCTTGCGGTGTTTACGGAGGTAAGGAGGATTCTTCGCAACCGACGAGATGTTCGCTATGGCTTGCTTTTTCCTGCACGGCTCCGCATCTCTCATGGGGAGGAAAACAAGGAGTTCCTGGATGCCAATAAAGCAATGGACTACGTTAAAAAGAGGATCATCTCAGCGACGGACATCGAGGACCTGCGTTGACCGCAGGTCCAACCCTCATCGATCCATTATGACTGTCAGGTTGTAATGAACCTTTTAATTTTATGTCCCACTTATATTTTGATTTATTTTAGACATTATTCTCAGGGACATTCCTATTTTTGTTCTATGAACGAGAGTTTCACAGGGGGTCTGTCCGGATCTTGGTTAGTGATTTATTTATCAGTACAGCAAGGAGCATATACAGTAATAATACTTTAAAGTTAGGGAACCCCTTTTTATTTTTTATTTTTGTTATTTTTATTAGTTGTGGCGGGAGCCCAGACAGGGAGTAAAGCCCCCCAGTATAAGCACAAATGTGTGGATTTTTTGTTTGTTGGGTTCTCCGTGTTTTTTTAGGAGAAAGGGGTGGCACTATACCGGATCTATTTGTTTTGAGAATGTCTCTTTCAAGTTATTTTTTGTGATGGTTTGTGTCTATTGTACTGCAGTCCAATTGACCATACATGAGCAGTTCTAACATTATCAGGTTCATCAACAGTCACCCAGTTAACTGTGTGAGTTGGAATGTSAARTCCCTCAATKKTCCAGTGAAATTTAGGAAAGTTATGACACATTTAAGACAACTTGATGCTAATATTACTTTTTTTCAGGAGACCCATTTGCGTAATGCAGACAGTGCCAATCTAAGCAGGCGCTGGTCTGGTCAGGTGTTTCAGTCTAATTTCCAATCTAAATCGAGAGGGGTGGCCATTTTAGTTAGTAAACAGGTGCAATTTACGGCATCCAGTGTTAAAACGGACGCTGCTGAACGTTATGTAATTGTGGTAGGAAAACTATATGCACTTCCTGTCATTTTAGTCTCAGTATATGCTCCAAATTGGGATGATCAAACATTTTTAATGCGCTTTTTTTCAAATTTACCTAATATTTCAACACATAATCTCATAATTGGGGGAGATGTGAACTGTGTGCTGTCGTCCCTCGATCGTAGTACAGTGGGGAGGATCTCTCTTTCTAAATCGGCCCAGTCAATTAATTCATTTCTTAACACTTATGGAGTGGTTGACGTGTGGCATTTTCGTAATCCGACCCTGAGACGGTATTCGTTCTTTTCCCCTGTTCATAAGAGCTATTCACGGATTGACTACTTTCTCCTCGATAAACRGATYTTACCCTTAGTGAGTGAGTGTGATTATGGAGCGATAGTCATTTCGGACCATGGTCCGCTCACAATGAAACTGAACATTCCTGTTATGCAATCGGTCTATCAACACACAGTGCATGTAATCAGGAACCATACCATTGATTAAATCAAACAATGGTAAATCTACAAGAGCAGATGAGCCCTTTATGCCCAGTATGCACTTCCCTTCTCTTTCTGCGATTTGTCCTATTTTTACTGTGGTTATGTGACTTTGGTCATATGGTTTTTCATCTGGACATGTGTAAACCCTTGTGCTTCCTTTTCCTTTACTTGTTTGCATCCCAGGGTGAAGGCAGACTCCACAGCCATACTCACCATTAAACTGCTTGAATTTCTGAAGTAAAGGCCTTGCTACTGCATCACACACACAGCACAGTGTGTGCACTTTTATGTGTCTCAAGGACTGATCACTAGGATCTTGCCACTCAAAGCCAACCTGAGAAAGACTGGCACACTCTTCAACAAATGGTTTGAAAAAACATGACATGTCTGGCCTTTTTGGTCCAAACCATAAAGCACACAAAAGTATGTGCTTGCCTCTACTCTCCGGTGGTATCTCATTGACACAACATRATATTGGCCAAATACTGAATTTGGAGGACTGAAAAACTGGAACACCATCGCAATTTAATGTAAGAGACAGAAAATCTTCTTTACTGTTAGATTTTAAAGWCTGATATAAGGTGCCATCACAAATGTCCTTTATGTTATTACTATTGGCCCCAACTTGAAAACAAAGATCATGCATGCCCTGGTTCTCAAGAATATCTTTCAGTTGATCCTTTAATGGGATACTAATGAAGAAATGTCCTTCCTGTAAACTGACTTTTACTGTTGTGACTGAGAAACATGATGCACATGTAAGTGTTTCTTCAAGAGATTGTGAAGAACCAATGTACTGTGTACAAACTCTACAGTAATGGTGACATTCAAACTGATGTGCAATATCAGCCAGTGGTTTCTCCAGAAAATGCTTGTTGGAACTACACCAGTCTCAGCAGAATGCAGTTTGAGCAGTTTCAGTAGGTCTTCTAATAAGACACATGTGGTGTTGTGTCTCAGTGCAAARGAGAGAATTGAGATGATGCTTTGCCCTTCTGTTAGTCCATGGGAGGAGTGGACATCATCTACTTCTTGATGGGCATGGTCCTAAGTGATAGGAAAAAAAAACACTGCATCAAAACTGATTAGATCTCACTTGTTCTACTCATAATCTATGGCAGGTCACATTTTAACCTAAAATTGGTTTTGTCAGTGGCATCAAGGGGGCTTATGCTCAGTTTCTTACTTCAGAAATGTAAAATGTAATTTAGTCATAATTTGGTTTGAGATATCTTGAATTAGGGATGTGTGACCCTTCAAATGACAAATACAGTTACATCATTTAAGATACATTTTGACTAGTCAAAATTATTACTTACTTACTATTATTATAACTTGAATTGTTAGATAGATTGAAATGGAGCCTCTATACAACTTCATGGTAAATCTGACATCATTTATACTAGTCAGAATGTAATGAGAGTTATCTCAAATAAGTATTTTGACTAGGAAAGCTGATTTTATGTTAAAATGGCCTGCCATACATGTTTTGCCTGACTGCACTTAGCATGGATGATAAATAAAAACCACAATAAATAAAAAATAACTGCAATACATGTCATGGTTTGTTTAATGAATCTGAAGGCTAAAATGTAATCATTCTTATATTTGAATGCTTATACATTGTCATAACTGTACCATTGTGAAAGATTCTGTTCTTTGCTCTTCTGTTTGGCTGGCATCTTGGTTGTTTTCCTGAAAAAGGTACATATGAAAAACTCAGACAGAAAGACGGACAGACAGACAGACGGACAGACAGACAGACAGAAAGAAAATTTATATTACAGTACACTAAAATTTTGTCTCACCAGTAACACTGTGAGAGGTTCTGGTTGCTCCTCTTCTCTTTGGACATCATCTTCATTACTGTTCTAAGAACGAAACAAAAGAACAACAGAAATAATAAATGTAACGTAATGTAGCAGTAAACAGAAGAGATTATTTTTCCAATACTGTTGTTAGGTCTCACTTGTGGCACTGTGAGAGGTTCTG